CACTCAGTCTCTGCCAGTCGCTGGTCGTCTTTAAATAAATATACTCACTCAGTCTCTGCCAGTCGCTGGTCGTCTTTAAATAAATTCACACACTCAGTCTCTGCCAGTCGCTGGTCTATACCCTCGGAGCCTGTCTGCAGGTCGTTTCAAACAAATACTCTCGGTCTCTGTCAATCTTTGCCAGTCGTCTTTAAATAAATGCGCTCAGTCTTTGTCATTCTCTGCCAGCTGTTGGTATCTCAATACCAATAGCCTGCCTGCAGGCCGTCAAACGAAAATACACTTGATCTCTGCCGCAGTCGTCTTTCAAATTCACTCAGTCTTTGTCAGGAACGGTTGCTTCTCGTCTCTCGCCGACCCGCATGTCTCTGTCCGTCTCTGCCAGCCGCTGCTGTCTCTACAGAGAGCTGCCTGCAGGTCGCCTTTAAACAAGTGCCCTTGAAATACGTCTTTGTGGCGTGGCAAACAAGCCGTTGGAGAACTGCGCTCAAAACATGCGTTGCAGTAACTCCCAAGAAAGATATCTTTTAACATCTGCTTTTGAAATACCTGTAAAATAGACAACTACGTTTGGAATAGCCGCAAAACAATAACATGTGTTGCAGTAACTCCCAAGAAAGATATCTTTTAACATCTGCTTTTGAAATAACTTTAAAATAGACAACTACGTACGTTTGAAATAGCCGCAAAACAATTGCACATTGAAGATATCGCTAAGTTAATTAATTTCAAATACGGCGTAAATCACTGGCCTCGGAAAACCTGTTGAGCAGTGGCCCTTTTATTCTGTAGTAAAAATACTAATGCATATTTAAACTATGGACAATAAAATACCTTAGCATTCCAACCAACACCTCAGAATGAACAACAATTGTATGTTTATGGGCTAGGCCAACCCAGATGTGCCGTCAAATAAGATTGTATTTTTAAAATACATAACAACATCTTATTAATAAGATTTTATTTTCTTGTCCATAATCAACATTCTTATATTTAAATGAGCATCCCTAAACCTAAGTCAATGCAATGTTACGATAAATATGAATAGAAATTTTTATTTTGTGTGTTGCATTATATTAAGTTCATCCGTTCAGTTTGTAATTTTGAAAAAAATTACATTGATTGAAATTTCGTATACAAGTACGAATTAAGGGCCTGAAAAGAACGTTAGGTTTTGCTAAACAATTCTTAGGTTACGGCCTCACTTTAGGTACGACATTTAATTAAATTCATTGTCCAACAGTAATATCTTCCGAAATCTTAATTGCACGTCGTGTAGCGCAAGTTACCTCTCTAAAATATGAGGCTTGTTCCCAATATAACTGCCTTGCACAAATGCCAGCAACAGAACGCGAGTATTGCAGTACTGGTTCACTTGTCTTTGAAAATGAATACAAACGACGTCGCTCGTAGTTATTAACACCTATCGCTTATCAAGCAATTGTAAGTAAACAGTCAAGTGAATTGGAAACGTTGAGATCACAATGGTGCTGGCTTTAACTTTCATTGTGGATTTCCTGGCGTTAGGTGGATTTGGATAGTGAAGCTTGCATCAAATTGAAATTGGAGTCAGATTAAAACTTCAGACTTTGTAAAATTAGGCGGCAAACACCAACTTGAAGTCGGAACAAGTCTCGTTAGAGCGACGGGTCATAATAGAGCTAACCAAACAATGGAACAAAACACTATTCATGGAAATCCGTGACGCGACCACTCAATTGTTTCTATCTGTACATGTGAAAAAGTTCATGCACACGAATTGTTTTGTGAGTTTTTATACCAAACAAACAAAAGTGACCAATTGAAATGTGAAATAATATTATTATTATGAATAATGATATGAAGTAAATAGGAGATTTTTAACCATCACGAATACATTCTTTTTCATTGTTATGTAAATTGGCTCCGGATCGGAAATGAAAGATGAAATTTAGAGTCTTTCAATAAATGATGATAATAATTATGATAATAATTTTAATAAGAACATATATAATAACATTAATAATAATAAAATGAAATAAAAAGAACCGGATTGATAATAATCACGATTATATTAGAATGATTTTAATATAGCTTTCGAGAAAAAGGGCCTTGTTTTTAACATCGTTTCAAGTGAAAGTGAAAACCATTTTTCTCTCACATTACTGGACTGAGCCCGCAGCTCTTTGCAGAGAAAAGCGTTGCTCTGCAAATCGTGTGCAAGGCTTACGATTACATTTCAAGAGCAAACCAACGCAGGTTTGCTCTCATGAAAAAAGGAAAATTCTCATGGGAATTTTCCATGAGATTCCAGGATTTGGGTTCCAAAAGCGCTTGTTTGTTCGGATACAATTTTCGAACTAGTTTTTGTCATGCTCATGCAGCTTCTCATTCGATTGCAAACCGGATAAGAGGATATGTTGGACGGAAGAAAAATTGCATGTTATTTTGATTAACAAATACCTATATAGATAATGCACATGTATTACTTCTTCCATAGAACAATTTTTTATTCAAAAATTTTCGTTAAAATGTAAATTTATCATTTTGATAAATTTTCAGTGAATGATAACTCCATGTACAAATTCTTAAATTAAAAAGAGCACCATAGATTTTCTTCCAACATTTTTTTTGGTTTATTACTGATTTTTCTTGCGTGTATGTTTTCTCCGCTTAAGAAATTATGCGCACAATTTTCGAACATAAATAATTTTTTGGATTAAAATTTCTAATAAGAAACGCAATAGAAGATGAAAGTTATCGAACGGAACATCAACGATCAAGTTAAGAATATTAGAAGTTGAGACACGAGTGGTGACTGACAATTGAAATCTCAAGATGTAATTTTTTCAAAATTTTGCTGATTTGCTGTAACCTGAATTTAGACCAACATTGTACATTGGAGAGAGGTAATTTAGTAAATACTCACATTTTTTATTCTTAGGAATTTCAGGCAACAGTCGTCTCCTTCTGCCCGCGGCTGGCTGGGGGGAGAGGGTGTTGGAGTTGTCTCTGTCAGCCGACGATGGAACTTCATCTTTTCCATCCTTGTCAGCATCGAGACAATCAAGATCAGAAACCGCATCAAGTTCGCCATCGCAATCTTGTTTTTCCACTTCCTTTTCATCTTTACTCGATTTTTCCTGCTCCGTTCCTGATTCAGTAACTTGTGACCCAGTCAGATTCTCCCCCGAGTGTGTTTCTTTAGATTTCACTGGCTGATTTTGTTCGACTTCTGGGAAATTTTCTTCCACTTCCACAGTGAGAATTTCATCTACTTCGTATCCATCCTCGTCTTCCAAACTGCACCCAAGCTCAAAATTAACACCGTCATCCTCCTCGTATTCGTCATCATTCTCGACACATTCGAAGCTGTCAAGACTCTCAACGGGGCTTGTTTGTAGGGACCCAGCTGGTCTAGGTCGAGGTGAGCCACAAATCGGAGACCCACAACTTCTCACGAAGACATCCACTATTTCTTCTCCGACGCTCAACTGCCGTAATCTTCTTGGGCTTGCGATGGGACTAGCGTTCGATGAATTGTTAAGGTTATTGTTATTACTTGCGTTAGACAACAGTTTGTGGGTTGGAGGGCGAAGTCTCTGGTTATTATTTGTGGAGTTCTTTTGCGAAATCGATCTACTAGGACTTATATTATTCTTTGGTTTCTTAGGAGTTACCAGTTTAGATGGGCTGCCTTGGAAGTCTACTTTCCTCTTGGGGCTGCTGGTTACCGAGGAGTTCCCTGATCTTAATGCTGGTTTATGCCGGGGACTGGGTGCGCCGCAAAGTGGATTTGGAATATTTTCAATTTCAGGACTTGGGGGAAACACAGGTGGAACTGGAGGAGCAGCTCTGGGGAGATGGGGGCACGAAAAATCTGCGTCTGTGCAACATTTATTGTCGTCAATAACTGAGGGCAGTCTGTCATCATCATTCGGGGAGTCCGGAGATTCTGGTGATTCTGTTGGGGAGGGCGAATCTACGGTGATGTCGTGGGCAAGCCTGTTGGGAGGAAAATTCAAAGTGATTTAATGCAATTATGCATATGAGTTAAGATTACACGAAAAATCGACGAAAAATCATTTAGAAGTTTTTTATTTGGATCTGGTCTTCATAGTTATGCATATTTTAGTGTTAATAATGGTTGACTAGGGAGAAATTTCCGACGAAATAATACAATCGCTTATAAGTAATCAGCTTTATTTATTCCACAAAGAAATTATTATTATTATGTAAAGACGCTTTGTAAATGAAATTGATTTTTTGTCGATGCAATTTACACCATTTTATATTATTTTTAAAACATGAACGTATTGCTCACTTATAATAGCTAGAATGATACTTAAGGTAAGACGTGTTGCCCATTAAGTAATCACATTTAAATTAAAGAAGGTTATAATCCTGTAAAATAAAATATAAATTGAGGAGATAAGGTTTTAGCATCAAATACAAGAATACAATACATTTCTCCATAATAATATTGTCTTCATTACAACATTTATTTACTTTTAGTTAATGAAGACAATTCTAGATGGAAATATTCAACACAATCCTCAAATAAATAGTGTGTATATTCTTAGAAAAATGGAGGTGTAATGATACACGAAGGAAGTATTAAGGAAGAAACATAATGCAGCTCGTTACCTTGCAATTAGATCAGGCCACAAGGCACAAATATCAGCGAAAAGCCTGGGGTCGCTCTCAGAACAAGTGAGGGACATGGCTACATGATGGGCGCTCCGTGCGCCTTGGCATTTTTCTAGGATGTTTACTGGTTGTATTGTTTCTTCTGTATTTCTCATTATGGGAGAAAAAACGCGTGCCATGCAGTCTTTGACTGATTTTTCAACAGTATCGTGACGGAAATTAATATTCTTATGGGGAGGCTTGAATGTGGAGGTTTGCGACGCTTCACTGGATCTTGTGTGAACAGGAGCGAAAGACTCGGAAAAAAATTCGTGGCGGCGAAAATGTTCTGAGTTTGTTGAAGGTTCCGGAGATCGAATATTTGAGCTTTTTGTGTCAATTTTTCGCAAATTTGTGTCGGAAATTTTGTATTCGCCTTTGAAATAGTCCTGTGGATGTTCATTTGCCCATTCTGACGAGCATTGAGACATTTCCTTTAAAATGAGAGGGTTATAGTAGGAACCCTCCCATAGTCCTTCAGGGACTTTGCAATTTGCAAGGAGTCCTTTCAACGGGCAAAGGTTATTTTTTGAGGCACAATAGGTAAATCCAGAGACATCATTCGAACAAAATTTCTGAGACTCAGCTGAAAATTCTATTGCAGTTGATGAGTCACGTAACTCGGAATGAACGATTTCTATTTCGCTTCCATGGTAGTCTTGTCCAAAAGTCGTATAGTTTTTTGTTACCTTCAGTGTCTTCTGCGGCGAGCTGGATACGACATCATTTTGTGGAAAGATAACGTCTTCTGCTTCTGAAACAATTCGTTTTCTGGTTGTAATTTCCGAGTCATGGGAGTATTCGCATTCTTCGTAGTCTGACAAATCGTTGTCAGTCTCTTCGTCGTCTTTGAGTGCACTAATGATAAGCTCTGCATTCGTTTCAAGATTCTCCACTACACTGTCAGAAAGATCGTCCGAAAATCTGCTAGCTAAGTCATCAAAAATTTCCTCTTGCTCGTCAATATTGTCAAAAATCGACGCTAAACTTTCAGAAGTAATTGACCGATCTATTGAAATTTCTATGTCATCAATAGAGTTCTTATCCAGACTGAAAATCTCGCTTTTTTCATTATCTAGCGTGCTTTTTTGAAATATTTTTATAGTGTTTTTGTTGTTATTTAGTTCACATGATGTGTCGATTTTATTTAATTCAATCTCATTTAAGTTCTGATCAATAGACATATGATTTACTTCGCTGTTGAAAGTCTCGTGTGAAGACAGCATGAGTTGCAAAAGGCTGTTGGGCTCATTAGTGTTGGAGAACTGGCGATCATTATCGAGAATGATCGTAAAATTTGAAGATTTTTCATTGGTTTCTTCTAATATATCATTAAAAGATGAATTTTCTATTACATTGTCATCCTGGAGACTAACCTTGACTGGATAGTTTTTCTCGATAATGCTACGCTCTACTTCAATTATATTTGGATTAGTTGGTATGAAAAAATCATCAGATGAGCAAGAGCTGTAAGAAGGTTCTGGTAATTCCTCATCGGAATCCCAGTTTGACGTTGGCAGAGGAGAAGCCGAAGCAGAAAGGGGTAGGTATGGGTTGAAGAATCGAGGAGATATTGGCGATGACGACGAAGATGTTGAAAGAGAAGAAATGGTCGATGGAGAGTCTGGCAGAATAATCGATTCGACCTCCCTATCATAAACATTTTTATTGCGCAAGTAAGCATTCATCCTAGATTCTTCCGAGAAAGGGTCGTTATTACGGTTGGCTATTCCCTGAAACTGGGCGTAAATTTCACTTGTATCAGGATAGCTAAAGTCTTCTTCGAGTTGTCCATCTCTGTGATCATAGTAATTCTCTTCCATTTTCGAGACGACTCGGCGCACTGCAATGTGAATGTGAGGCGTAGTTGGGGTAGAAGGAGTGAGAAGGATTGTCGGGGTTGGTGAGGTGTTGGGTGAATCAAGAGCTGGGGAAGAGGTAGATGATGAGGAGGATGAGGAGCAGCATGAGGTGCTGTCCAGGGCCAATGTTGAAGGTGGACCTAGAGGAGTAGGGGCTTCCGTCCACACCATATTGGAGTGTGTTGAGCACACGCGTCGTTTTATGACTGTATGATGATTGGACGAGCGGTTTTCATATTGCCTGGCTAGAGGCGGAGTTGCAGAGTACGAAGATGTAACAGCAGAGCTTTCTTTAGTGGCAGAAGCAGAGCAGCCGGCTTGTAAATGTGATCCAATCGAAGAAATTTGATGAAATTCACAGCAGTGATATTCGGTTGGTAATGACAAGCTATATTTTCCCCCGCAGTTGCTGGAAGTCGACGTTATGTGTAAGACGAAAATCAAGAATAAAGGAACACAAATAGAGCTAAGATAATGTATGCTACAGACTATTAGTGCACAACCAAAAATTTCAAGCACAATCACTATGGTGTCGTTGAAATTTGCTATGAAGTATTTAAAGTCGAAAAAGTATTCTAGCAGCAGGATATCCAGCCTCCCCCATTATTTTTGCATCATAAATCACAAATTAAGCACCTGAAATAAATTAAACGGTAAATATCATTACAACCTGGGTTTGCAAATCCCATATAGTATAGTAGTCATCACTCCAAGAACTCCCCATAAATTTTGTATCCAACTCTGTATGATGGATACATTCTTGATGATAAGAAAACTTTCCTTGAATTTAGATCTCGATCGAAGTTAACAGCATAACAATAGACACATCAATGAATAGACAAGGGGCTTTAACCAACACACAAGAGGCTTTAATTTCGACACCGATTATGTTTATTGTGATGAAGCGCTCACGTCAGCGCGAATTTTTTTCATAGAAACAATGATTAATATTTATTCGCTATTTAAATTTTTCACTTTTTTTAGTAAGTTCGCCAATTATAGGAACAAATCGTGGGCTACGTGCGATTGATTTGAAATTAAAAACCGCGTACCTGTTTCCTACCATTTTGACTTAACTGTTCACAAATTCTCACCATAATGGCAGCGAATTTACCACCTACTGTCATAAGCTATTGGTAACAGCGTAAAGTTTTGCAGCTTCGCTCATTCGGTGAAGAAAAGCCCAAAATATTACAGTTTTGCTTCAAAATTTCGGGACCTTCATGTTATATGCTCGCCAGTTCAAAGGAATATTTCGCATGGATTTCATAAGGACTCGATATCGGATGCCAATACAGCGGGACGGTTCACTGGCGCCTTATATTTGAGCAGTTCTTGTCTCAGCCTTAGGCTGATATTTTCCACCAGGGCGACAGATTTCCATGGATTTTGGGACATTAAAAAATTTGAGAAATTAACCTCTTAAATCGAACACGTTAAATTGACTAACGCTTCGTTCCGCTACACAGCACTAAGTGAACTTGCGAATGAATTGGCGAATTACTACTAATCAGTATGTTCTGGTAAAGTTCAAATATTTTCCCTTATTAATAAAGCTAAAAATTTCAATGAGAAAAAAGACTCACTCAATAAGGTCAACATGCTAAGCGCGTAGGACATTTTTTATTCCACAATGAATGTCAAATCTTAAATACTTTTACAGTATATCAATTTTAATGTAAGAAACTATACGTCACCGAATGCATGTTTGATTCATCTCATGGCGGAGGGAATTCACGCTTCACGAAGAAATAAATTTTGAAGGATACGCTCAGCTTGCGTTCTGCATCGGTGTGGTGCAGTTTCATGAATGAGTTGTATATTGAGTGCAATTCTAAGGTTCATATAGTTCAGTGAATCATGCTAAACGGCGCTAAAATTGCCAATATTTTGCACCGAGTCTTAATTAAAATAATCCATGTTGCCTCGATGATTTTAGTATGCCTAGTTCGTCTTCTAATGTGTTATAATAAGGAAGTAGTTTCAAAGTTCTTGAAAGCATATAAATTTAATTTTATTTAAGTGAGGCCACCAAAGAGTGGTACATAAAGTTGGGGTGGATCTTTCCTTTTCATTAAATTTTTTTACGGTAAATATTAATTGAGCGATTCAACGAAAAATCGCTACGTATCGTGTACCAGTAAAGTTTGTAACAGAAATATTTATATATTTATTCATTTAGAGTACAAGTATCAAAGAGTGTACAACGATCTATACTGTGAGGAAATTCTTACGAGTTTTTTTATAAAAAAAGTTGAAACCAATGTTCCAGAACTTGTTGCACGTGATCGATCCTACTGTGGATCAATCATTTAAAGAAAGCATAGCGCTCAGTTAAGGTTTTAATAAATCAAAGTTGCTCAGGTAGGGAGAAAAGGCACCGTATTTTTTTAATATAAATTTTATTTAGTGATGGTCTATCGCTCGAAACGAGGATAAATGAGCGGCTTTTGT